CCGCCATCTGCTCAACCCGACACGTGCAGGGGCACTTCCGGGAGCCCCACCCGCTGATTGGCGGAGAGCTGGCCCTCCCAGCCAATGGAGGCTCAGCAGGACTCGGGGCGGGCGGATGGCAGGACGAATGCCGAGGGACGGGGGGCTGTGGGGGCGGGGCCTGGAGCGAGACCGCCCTGACCCCGCCCCGGGGCTGACCGAGGGGGCGGAGCGAGGGGCAGAGGCGGCCCCGGGCGGGACCCCGGCCCCGGGCGGGACACAGGGGGTGACCCCGGGCAGCAGCGTTGTCCCCACGCCGGGCACCCCCACGGGCTCATGAGCAAGGAGGGTGCCACGGCTGTGCAACCGTCCGTCCTCCCTGCAAATAACAGCTTCCCCCCCCCCGCAAAGACACAGCCGCTGAGGAGCCTACGCTTTATTAGGAACCAACCCCCAAGATACAAATCGACAAAAACTTCAAAGAAAGAGTCGTGTGAAAGTGTTATGTACAGATCCGATACACAGAAGAGAGGGGGTCAGGTTCGGCAGCCCCCCCCGGGGAGCAGCACCAGGTGATGGGAAGAGCCCCCCCAGCTGCAGAGGGCAGGGACGTCCTGTCCCCGTGCTCAGGGGGGAGCAGAGTTCCTGTCCCCTCGGGGTCCCCAAGGCCCCAGCCCTGCCAGCAGGTGCAGGCAGAACGTGCCAGGGAAGGGGAAAGCGCTCAGTGCCACCTCCTGTGAGCGGGGAGCAGACCCCCACTGGGAACACAGTGAAGGCCATGGAGGGCTCCCCAAGAGTCCAGCAGGAGCAAAAAAAAAAAAAGGACATCAGGCAAACTGCAACCAGGGAGACAGCAGAAGTGCTGTGCCAGGTCTCCTCATGACCATACTACTCCCTGCGTCCACCCCAATTAGCTAAAAGCCTTACCGAAAGGATTTAATTACCCTTACCATACAGGCCACCGAGCAGAGAGGGGCAGTTTGTGGATGATGCTTGAGACCACCAAGGGAGAGAAGAAAACCCCATCCCATTTCAGCCTTCACCCCCCTTCTCTGCCAGGAACAGCTCCCAAAACGTCACACACAGGTTTCCTGTACAGTCACCCAGACTGACAAGGGCTGTTCCCTGCTCCAGTCCCACAGGATTCCCCACAGTTCACCTCCTGGAGCAACAAAGATGGGGAAAGCGGCAGCGTTTGGTTTAAGTACAGCAGGAAGAGAGCGCAAAAAGAAGAGCGCGTTCATTGGAGGTTAATACAGGAAACCGATTTCAAGGGGAGTGTTTCAGAGAGAAGCAGCCATCACAGCTCCCGCCCCTCACGCTGGAGCGACAGCCCAGTCAGCTTTATGTTTTCTTCTTTAGCTCCTCAAATCTCCGAGAAAGATCATCAAAGTCAATGTCTTCAGAGGCAGAAGAGTTGGCGCCGGCAGATGCTGTTGGCAGCGTATCGGGCACGGATGGTAATTCAGGCAGCACAAAGTTATCAAAGGTATTAGGAGCTCCAGCTCTTGGTTTAGGAGAAGCTTCTGGCTTGGGCCCAGGCCCTGTTTAGAGTAAGAGAAATATCATTTCACCTCCCCACCACCAGCTGTCAAACTGAAGCACACGGCCTGAACCCACGCACCCACAGGCCTATTTCTTCAGCACTCACCACCACCAACCCCCAGAGGACTCCATCAGACCGTCTGAAGTCCTTGCTGGAGCTGGCAAGGGTGTCCTTAGTCTAAAAACCCTCTTTGCCTTTATGAAGTGCTGGAGATAACAAGTGCTTTCAACAGAGAAAAGGCAGAATCACAAGGCGGGAGAATTTTGTTATGATCCAATGATGATGCATGAAGCATCTCATCAGCCTTTAGGCAGCCAGACAGACCAAGGGGTAACAGCTTTCTCCATGAGTCCTCTTCTGCCACACGCAACCTCAACACTGACATTAACACAAACCCATCTACCTGTCCTCATAGTGCCTGCTTCTCTCATTCTGTTGCTGCACAACAAAATTATTTATACCATGAAAAAAATATATTACCACTTAGAGTTGTTGCTCCTTCATTTTATCCTGCAATGCCCTACACCTGGTCCGACGAGACAGCTTAAGCTGGAGACCTGGTATTGGCTCCAAAGTCAAAGTGCAGTTTTTGAGTTTCCCAGTGGAAGTCTGGATCCTCCCTGTTTTGAGAGGATACTCTCCGTTTCCATCCGAGTCCTCTACGAAACTCAAATCCTGCTCTCAAGATGTGCTGAGTTCTACACGTTGTTCCCTATATGGAAAGCTGCCTTCCAGGGACACTGGGATCCCAATATAACCGCAGCCCCACTCCGCCCTGGGTTTCCCACCCCTCCGAGGCACTCACCAGCCGCCGGCGCAGCAGTGTCCTTGTCGGGGTTAGGCTCGTCGATCTGGAAGAGACTCTGGGTTACTACAGTGCCCTCTCCTCCCAGGCACAGACCCACACAGGCGTGTAGGTGCTGCTCATGGGCCACAGCAGCCGCACCCATGGAGAGCAACGCACACTTCACTCCCCCCCAAGAAGGCAGACAACCCTGGCTAACAGCACACTTGGAAGAATCCACCTCTCTTCCCAAGAAAAGGAAGCAGTGCTTTGACTTTCCTCTCCCTCCCCATCAATCAAAGCAGCTTCACTGGCCACATTCTGGAACTGGATAAACAGAGCATACTCACTGGCGGGCCTAAAATATTTGTCAAGGACCTAAGTGGGAAAAGATGCTCTTCATCCACATCATCGCAGCTACTGCTTCCTTTCTTTCATAAGGAACAAACAGGTACTTGTAACCAGTAGCAAGGTACAAAACAACCCCATCTCAGGTCTTATCTGGCTGGGATAAAGCCCCGTGATATGGTCAGTCCTCATTCCCTATGGGCTGCAGTCAGTGCCATCTGTCACGGAATCACAGACTTGTCAGAGCTGGAAGGGACCTCCAGAGATCATCTGTCTGTCACGGAATCACAGAATTGTCAGAGTTGGAAGGGACCTCCAGAGATCATCTAGTCCAACTCCCCTGCTAAAGGAGGATTGCTTAGAGCACATTACTCAGGACTGCATCCAAAATCTCCAGAGAAGGGGACTCCACCCCCTCCCTGGGCAGCCTGTCCCAGGGCTCTGCCACCCTCACCCCAAAGAAGTTCTTCCTCATATTTGAATGGACTTTCCCATGTTCCAGCTTGTGCCCGTTGCCCCTCATCCTGTCCCTGGGAACCACTAACGAGTCTGGCTCCATCCTCCTTCAACCCCCCCTTTCGATACTTGTCAGCATTAATAAGGTCTCCCCTCAGCCTTCTCTTCTCCAGGCTAAAGAGTCCCAGCTCTCTCAGCCTTTCCCCATAAGGGAGATGCTCTAATCCCTCAAACATCTTTGTTGCCCTACGCTGGAGTCTCCCCAGTAGCTCCCTGTCTCTCTTGAACTGGGGAGCCCAGAACTGGATGCAGTATTCCAGTTGTGGCCTCACCAGTGCAGAGTAGAGGGGGAGAATGACCTCCCTCCACCCACTGGCCACACACTTCCCTCTGCAGCCCAGGATTCCACTGGCTCTCTTGGTGACAAGGGCACATTGCTGGCTGAACCCAGCTAATAACTGCTGCATCCGTGCCTCCATCTCCTGGACTCAAAGCCTGCTGTGCAACTAGCACAAGGTGTTAGCACACACAGGTGCTTGGCTGCTCTCATTCCTACTTGGGATATTGCAGAAACAAGCAGCACGTCACTGAAAGCCAAATTAGAGTCGTGACCGTAACTGCAGCAGTGAAAACAGACAAGCAGAGACAAACACCAGCCTCTCCTTTGCTGTCCCCAATGGCTGAGAAAAGCCTGGGAAAGGACAAGTGTTTAAACATACATCATCTTGTTCGGCGAAATGTTCATTCAGGCTCTCTACAAATTAGTTCAAAAGCCATAATTAAATAGATTGAAGGAAATAAACCCTTCACATTAAAAAAAACCAACAAAACATCAACCAACCCAGAATTAGTGGACTCTACTTGTTAACTGTTTATCACCATTTCAACAACACAGTTAAACGGACCTTGGCTTTCCCTTTCAGCCAAAACACACCCAAGGATGAGGAACTTCTCACATGTCATTCTCCCATCACATGCACTCAGTGACTCACCATCCCCCTAAGCAATGCCAAGCACCACCCCAGAAGCTCCAAAGGTTGACAGTAACATGCTTCATGAACATTTGCCTTTTCCATGGCTACCACCGCACTCTGAGGTTTCCCTCTCCTGGCTACAACAGTGATTCAGCTCAGGGACTTACAGACTCGTATGTTGGTGGGTCTGCTGGAATTGGTGGTGGATGGATGTTACTGAAAGGCTGGTAGGTCCCCACTGGCAGGCCATTGAAGTTCTCCTGTACAGAGAGATTAGAGTCATGCATCATGCTCTCTCATCGCACCTGGGAGAGCAGCCATGGGACACAACACAACTGCAGCTGCTACGGGAGTCAGAGAAAGTAGTAGTCTAACATAAATGCAAGCAAGTATCCAGCCTGATAAGAGTTTATACCTGCTGGGAAAAGACTCTCAAGTCAGATGTAGTCACCTGGAGCAACCAGACCCAACTTACTGGACTGTGGGTTATTCTAAAGACCCAGCATGACTAAACACTTTGTCTTTCAAGGCATTAGAAGTACCAGGAGAAAAAGGGTAATACCCTGCCTTAAACACACCTGAGCCGTTTCTCCTGAGTGCAGTATCACATGAGGAAGGAGATCTCTGGCTCTGTATTACCCTTACCTGTAACACAACGCCTCCAAGACCTAGACTTAGCAGAGATCCTCAGCATATCTATGCCTGGACCTTCAGCCAGTTGATGATACCGGGCCCAGATTTCCCACAAAAAACACTGCAGCCTTGCTGGGACCATATTCAGACTCCAAGCCATCCCACAGTTCTGCAACTCTCCAGTCTACACAGATACCCTGTAAACAACTGAATTCAGAGAACAGTGCTCTTTTCAGCTCCCACCTTCCACCCTCATAACAAATCATCTCCAAAAGCTATTGGCCTGGTCCTGTCCCCTCCCCTTGCAGGTCTGAAGGCAGGGCACTTCCGCATTTTTCTGTGCTGTTCCCAGCCCACAAAACTCACCTGATTTCCTTGACTGAATCTTGGCACACTACCAGCCTAGCAACTTCAAAGTGCAGCTCCAACCCCTGGTCAAAAGCCTGACAGTCAGAAGACTGCCTCAGGAGTTAAGTCTGGACTCCTCTGTTCCCTGAAGGCAAAGAGGGCTGGCTGGAGAACAGGGGTAGGAACCTCCACAGTCAAGAAGCAACATGAAGCTTCAGCTGCACTGCCAACAGTTTCCATCACATGCAGTCTCACAGCAACACAATGGTCTTCTGACACATTAAGCTATCAGGTACAGACACTTCCCAATCAGCAGACACAGGACTAAGCACCACAATCGGAGTCTTCCACAGAAAAACAGAACACTCAAAGCAAAGGCACTTACCGGTCCCTTTGGAGGTGGATAGGAAACAGGTGGATTTGGTGTTGGCATGGGCATAGGCATGGGCATCATCACTGGCATGGGTACTAATCCATCATGACCAACCATCGGGGCTGTAAATCCACCACCTCCTCCCCCTCCAGGGCCACCCTTCTTCACATCATCTGTGAATCCCACATCGATCAGATCTGCCTCTCCTCCTGCAGGGGCTTCAGCCTGGACAGGGTAGAAGAATTCTGCTCACCAACACACCTCTATTCTGATCACAGTCCTCTGAACAGCATTAGATGCACCATTTGTCACTAGACAAGATGAGACAACACGAAAAGGAAAGAACAGACAGCAGCCACACAGTGATATTCATGGAAATCAGAAAGGGAACCAGGCTTTAGCATGACTAACTACAGCCACATGCTGTAGGATGGTGGGAAGGAGCAGGGATCCTGCTATGCTAGGGTTGTCTGGAAGATACTAAAGCAGGATTACCACCAAGCTCATTGCAATGCCTCAGCCCTGTGCTCTGAAAGCTTGCACAGCACTAGCAGGATGTTTCAGTTCACTGGAACACAAAAGGGAACTCCAGACTTGCAGGTGCCTCACTCACCATCACCACTGAGTCGGGTTCATAGGGTACATTGTAGTTCTTGGCAATCTCGATGAGGTATCTCTCCACCAGAATCTTGGGTGGCGCCTCCACGCTCAGCTTGTGCATCAGCTGGAACACAAGGGTGCAGAGACACTCAGTGGGACTAGGGCAGTGCAGCACGGCAGACCTCTATCCCAGCCAGGGCCACCTGCTATGGGGAGCACAGTGCAGCCTTTCCTCCCAGTAGGGCACTGCTGTAGAGGAGGCTGCTGGCAAGCACAGGCCAGAGCTCCACGTGCTCTGCTCCTCTCCATCCAGTGAGCACAGCAGGACTCCATCTGCCAGGGAACTCAGCACTATGTTCCCATGTTCCAATGCAGGCAGGCGCCCCAGCAGCAACATCTGGCCCACCCTATTTCACAGTGAACCACAGGGCTCAGCCAGTGGCCACAGCAAAAAGGGGCAGAAAGCTAGAGCAGACGTATCTGTTCTGCCAGCAGCTGTTCCACCAGTTAATTACCCTGTCATTTACTGTCCCAATCTGGTTTGTCCGGCACAGCTTCCCATACTCCTTGCTGTACTTGGCACACAGCTGGTCAGCAACCTGTAGCAGGAAAGAAACTCTGGGAACGTGCACACCTTTGCTTTCCCCCATCACACACTGCACATCAGCTATAGCCCCTACAGCTGACATGCCTCCCCTTCCCCCCCCCCCCCCCCGATTGTCCTCATTTCTGCCACTGAGTGCCCCAGCTGAGCAGCCTCAGCCACCCCTGATGCTCCAGGGACACCTTTACTGGTGTTTCCATCTACCTTAGTGACAAAGAGTCCCAGTCACAGGCTTCCACCAGCTTCTGGCAGCATCACCCCAACCCTCCATGTGGAATACCCCTCTAACCCTACTCACAATCTTCAATTCAGCCACTTCCGACTGGAGTCGTGGTGCAGCCCAAATCAGCGTAGACACTGCTTCTGCCAGGCCAGAGTCCAGCTCCCTAAGGAAAACAGAAGACAATCCCATCTCCTCACCAAGCACCTAATCTTTTCTGCCCTCAGCCTGTTTAGCCTGAATGTCCCCATCCTCCATGCTGGGCTCCAGAGTCTTCCCTGCCTGGGGAAGAAAAGTTCTCTGGAGTCCCTAGGACACCGAGACAAACAGGTGCCCTTCTGTATCCCAGGTGTGCCCCCAGCAGTACCGCCCCCGAGCCCAGGGGGCCTGGACCCTCTCCCACAGCAAACCCTCCAGGCCAGAGCTTACTTCATGGACTGAATCAAGCCAAAGCGGGCTAGCAGCAGATCGCAGTACAGCTCCAGGATCTCCATGGCCTCCACAAGGTAATCTTCACGGATGATGTGCTCCACACGAATCCTGGCACGCTCATCTTTTCCGGCTGCCAGGTAATCTGCAATCTCCTTCCTTGCCTTCTGGGCCAACTCAGCTACAGCACATATCCCCAAGGCCAGTCACTGCGCTGGCAGGGGCTGCTGCCTCCATACCCACCCACAGTCCCCACCACACACAAAGCCATCATGAGTTTTTCCTCTCTCCTTCATCAAGCCTCTCTAGCGCAAGACACTGAGCCACGGCTCGGTGGAGCCCTTGTGTCCAGGTCCCAGCACACTAACTTAGGGGAGAAAGGAGAGTGGGCTTTTAGCTGCTAGAAACACTCCCACACCTTCAGCTTCCCTACAATGTCAATCAGAACCATGGATCCTCCTTAACTGGGCAGGGCAGGACAGCACAGGTGGAGAGAGACAGCACCCAGGAAGTTTCCCACTATGTTGTGAGCAACAGGAAAAGCCCCCCCAGGGCAAACTGGCATGTCCCTCCACGCACAGCCCAGAGCTACCACCCCGTAAGCTGCACTCTGATACCTGCCAGGAAGGTGGACAGAGGCCACGTTGTGGACAGCCTACTCCTCTGGGTACTCACACGCCAGAGCAGACTGCAAGACCTGGGTCCAGCAAGGAGAGCAAGAGGCTACTCCATACTTGGCCCATTAAAGTACCCTGACTTCAGAAAAATCTTCTCCTCATGTCTCCTGAGCCCTAAAAGCATACTTGGTCACACCTGCATCACACCTGCCCCCTCAAATACTCACTCTTCTTTTTCTCCAGCAGTTTGAGGCGATTGATGACAAGGCGCAGATTGACTCGCAAGCGCTCAGCCTTGAACCCAGAGCCCAACATGATAAACACTTTCTGCGGGAGAAGAGAGGAATGTCATTGGAACCAGAAGATGTTGATCATACCAGAAGGACACCAGTCACTGTTTTACTTGAGGAAAAAAAGCCCACAGTTTTCTCCAAACAAACAGGTACAGGCCTGCTATTCCTGAATCCAGGTATTTAAAAATGACTGGACCTACAGCACTTTACGCTTTTTCCCACTTTACAACTCTGCACTTAATGAAAGCCAACAGAGAAACTTCCTAGATATTCCTACCCCGACAGACTGAATCTCAACCCCAGAAACAGATGCAAGATGAAAAAAAATTGGCACTACTCCATAAATAGTAACAGGGTTAGAAAACATACCCTGAAACAAGAAGTTAAAGGCCTCAGTCTATTTAATCCATATGAGTGACACTAGCCACAGATGTGAATACAGTAAAGTTTTAAGAAAGTCAGACAAACATCTACCAGCAGTAGTCTAGGAATATGTGACTGTGGCCAGTTCAGTAAGCCGAGCTTACCGAGATGGTATTTTGAGGTTCTGACATGCTTTCATTCTATTACTTTGAAAGGTGAGGGAAATAATACCTCAAGATGCCATCTGTGACAATCAGCATACAGTCAAGTCTCCCTGCCCCATGTAACTTCACTGACAAAACCACATTTTTAAAGAAAATGCTGACTCCTGAACACGTGCTCTGGCATTTCTCCAGTCTCTAATGAGCCAGTTCAATTCATTAGTCCTACAGAAAACTAGCTGAGAAGACGCCTTAGCACAGCATTTTGTTACGTCAAGAATTGTTCATCAAAAGACCTTTCCTGAAGAGCTATCGTATAGAAAGACCTTGGCTTGTACCCAAAGGACATACTGGAGCAGACTTTTGGATAGTGATAGCATTTTGTGTCTAACTACTGGTTTACATAAGATTTATTATGAACTAGAGTATATCCAGTGTATTTAACTGATCTATTCACACACCAATACAGTTATTTCAATGATGCACAGAACCAACCAAGCTCAAAAAACATCGCTACAGATTATAACACTGATGCCATAAAAACACAAGTTTTGACCTTCTGTAACTGGAACACACATCTACAACATTAAAATAACTTTGCAGTGCTGCAAGAAACAGTCTCAGTACGAGTTGAAATGTCTCTGTAAAAGTATCTGTTTAATAACTATTCTGTTTAACAACAGCCTGTTTTAACAGACTGGTTAAAAACACAGCCATTAGGTACCAACCAGCTCCCGGACACCCTTTCACAACCACTCTGTTGCCACTCTAAAAAGTTCTGGGTCCAATCCAAAGGATCCAATCCTTCCTTCCCTATCCCTTTGCCTTCCCATCTCTTCCTGCAGATGGGCTGCTACCCTGACCGCAATGAAACTAACCTTTACTCGTATAACAACTACCCTGTCGCTAGGGCGGTCTCCAGGCGCATTAGTCAGCTGCCGGGAGTCGCCGCCCGGCTGCCCAGCGGCCGGGGCTACCTCAGAGAAGCGCTCAGGGGACCCTGGGCTCGCTTTACCGGCGCAGCCCCGAGGGGGCTGAGGGGCAGAGACCCCTCTGCATCCCCGCTGCCCTCCCCAGCGAGTTGGCGTCGGGGGAACGTCCCACAGCGCGGGCGGGGCAGGACAGGCCCAGGGCTGCCCTCAGCCCAGCCAGCGGGCACTCGGGACGAAGCGTATCCCTCGCTACCAGCACCTTCTCGGCCACCGACCGTGCCCCACCGCCCCCAGCTCGGCCGCCACAGCCCCACTCACCGGCCGCCCCTCCGCTCAAGCTCTGCGAACCAAAATGGCGGGGCCCGAGCCTCAACACCTCACCGCCTGCGGAGTGATCTACGGTCCCGGCGCTCCCTACTCCTTACTGGGGGGCACGGCCGAGCTATTCCTGTAGCTACGGAGGCAAAGCCGCAAGAATTACCTGCCTCACCGACGCGGCGGCGTCCCGGGAAAGAAGCAGCAGTGGCAGAAGCGAGGAGGGCGGCGCGGAGGGACTAAATGACCCAGCGGAGGAATCCTTTCTGCGTGAGTGCGTAAGTAGTGATCCCGATAGCAGTCCGCCGGCAGCCGCTCCCCGGCGCGGAGGTTCCGGTATCACAACGTTCCGCCCGCGGCTTCCCCGCCCTCAGCCCCGCCTACCACGGGGGACGGCGGCCGGCTCGGTTGAAGGCACCGCGCCGGGTCGCTGGGCGGGCGGAGGAGCCTCCGGTTCTCTGAGGGACGGGCGGCCGTGGCGCCTCCGTGAGGGAGGGTCGGGCCGAGGCCGAGGCCGAACCCGGTGCCCCGGGGCTGCAGTCCCGCCGCTGCCTTTCTCCGGGGCGGCGCAGCCCCGAGGGTAAGCTGGCCCGGGGCGAGTGCCGGGCGAGTGCCCGTTGGCACCGGGCGGACGGGGCTGCTTCGGGGCTGACGATCCCCCGCGGGGGGGGGGGGGAGGAAAGCAGCCCAAAGCCCCCGCTTTGCGGTGCGGGGCGGGGTTCGCTTCTAAAGGGATGCGTGCCTTCATAACGCCCGTGGCGGCTTCTAAATTAATAGTAAAATCGTGATTTTTTTAATTTTTTTTTTGACTTTGCAGGGTAAGCCAGATTCTGGTGAGCTCGGGTACCAGAAGGGCAGCCCCTTCCCGACCCGGGCGTGGGGCTCGGCCGTTGCCAGCGGAGGGGGGCCTGGGTCTCGGCGCCGCTTTCCCCCCGCGCCGCCCGCCCGGGGGTGCGGGAGACCGGCAGCCGGCACGGATGAGCTCCTCCGGGCGGCCGGGAGCTGCTGGCTGGGACGGATCCATGAAAAACAGGTGAGACGCTTCGGAGAATGGAAAACCCGGCCCCCGGGGTCTGCAGGCGAGGTCTCTGACAGCCGGCGGGGCACGGCCGGGGCCGGGGTCGGGCCGTGGCCGGGGGGGGTGCCGTGGCCGTGCCGTACCGGGGGCTTCCCGGGGCCGTGCCTGTGCCCGCGCCCGTGCCCGTGCCCGCGCCGCGCGCTCTGGCGGCGCCGCCATCTTGCCCGTCTGTCTGTCCAGCGGCCCTTTGTCTGTCTGCGGCTCCCCGGCGACTGCAGCGGGACCGGGTAAGGCGGGCCGGGCCGCGGGCCGGGGCCGTCCGCCCGGGAGGGGCGGGCCGGATCCCGCCGTCCACCTGAGGAGCGGCGGCGTCGGTCCCTCTGCCTGGCAGGGGCCGGGCCGGTCTGTCTGTCTGTCTGTCCGTGATGTCGGGATGGGTCCCTCGGTCGCCCGTTAGCATCCGCGGGGGCTCGGGCTGGGTTCCTCCGTCCCTCCCGCTGCCGGCGGAGCGGGGTCCGTGTGTCCGTCCGCTTGCGGGCTGAGTCCCTCCTGCCGCCTCCCGTGTGCTGGCGCTGCCGGCTGCGTCCCTCCGGCTCATCCCCGTGTCTGGCTGTCGGTGGGAGGCTGACGGGATCACCGTGTCTGCCCGATACTGGGAGGCTGACGGGATCCCTGTGTCCGTCTGTCGGTGGGAGGCTGACGGGATCCCTGTGTCCGTCTGTCAGTGGGAGACTCACGGGATCCCTGTGTCCATCTGTCGGTGGGAGACTGACAGGATCGCTGTGTCCGTCTGACGGGATCCATGTGTCCGCTTGTCTGAAGACACTGACAGGATCCCTGTGTCCATGTGTCAGTGGGAGGCTGACAGGATCCCTGTGTCCATCTGTTGGTGGGAGGCTGACGGGATCCCTGTGTCCATCTGTCAGTGGGAGGCTGACAGGGTCCCTGTGTCCATCTGTTGGTGGGAAACTCACGGGATCCCTGTGTCCATCTGTTGGTGGGAGACTGACAGGATCCCTGTGTCCATCTGTCGGTGGGAGACTGACAGGATCCCTGTGTCCATCTGTCGGTGGGAGGCTGACAGGATCCCTGTGTCCATCTGTCGGTGGGAGGCTGACAGGATCCCTGTGTCCATATGTCGGCAGAAGGCTGACGGGATCCCTTGTGTCCATCTGTCGGTGGGAGGCTGGCGTGATCCCTGTGTCCATCTGTCAGGGGAAATGGGCTGAGCTTCTCCTCTTGTCTGTTTGTCCGTCTGCCTGTTGGGCAGAGCGTTGGGATTGATTCCTTCCTCTGTCAGTCTGAGGACGAGGGCTCGATGTTTCCCCCTTGTAAAGTTTGAAGGGGTTGGTGTGGCCCCACCTGTGAGGGACAAGGGGGGTGCGTCCCTCCCCATCCAAGGTGGGATGTCAGTGGTCCTTCCCCATGTGAGGGTTGTGGCAGCAGGGAGGATGCAGAAGCCCTGCTGTTTCCCCCTCCCTGTGCCTGTCTGTGAGGGCCATGAGGTCAGTCCCTTTGAGGGGTGTCTGGGCTGAGACCTGTCCCTGGGATGGCCACACCATCCCATCAGCTGTTGCCACTGTGGAGCTGTGACTGTAGGGTGGCCGGTTCCCTTGTCTGCATGGGCTGGGCTATCTGGACGTCAGCCTTCTGGGCATGGTGGGGCTTTGTGTGCCCTCCGTCTCTCTGTGGGTGGGGGGGCAGAGAAATGACAGGGTCTGTGGGTTTGATTAGGCTCCCTTGCTCTGTCAGCCGTGGGAACGGACAGGAGGGAGAAGGGTGTTTGGGCTGAGATTGCAGTCATTCTTGAATTGGGGCTTTTTGGGACTTTGGGACTTCTAGCTTTTTGAGTGCTGGGGGCAGGATTGCTTACAACTTCGCTTGAGAACTGGGTGGGACTGCCCGTTACATGGTGTTTTGTGAAATGCTTGTGGATCGTGTTGGATGCTGGCACTGAATGTGGCTGTGGTGATGCAAAACAAGCCCTGTAGGCAGAAGGGTGGGGAATGACCCCGAGACAGCCAGTTGCGTTTGGCCGGAGGCTCAGAAGGTTCCCGTGGGGTGTGTGACAGGCTCTTCTCTTCTCAGGTGAGCCCTCTGCTGAGGGAACGAACACTCTGTGCTCCCAGGTCAGGGAAACATGTCCCGTCGGAAACAGACCACTCCTAACAAAGTTCACTGTGAGTATTATGTTACACAGCATTGTGGGATCCTTGCCCTAGCTGGATTGTTGTGGAGTGAGACGGGGAGGAGGGGGATGATGAAAAGGTGCAGTCTGTGGGGGAATGGTGGTTGTTCACGTTTTGTCTTAGTAAGAAGAGAAACTCAGCTCTGTGCATCAGGGGAGCTGGCTGTGTCCTGGCGTGGCAGGACAGGGATAGACTTGAACAAGCAACTAATGCTGTAAAGGTAGGTGTGTATGTGCAGGGCCTGTAGCTGTGCTTTGCATTCACACTGTCACAAGTGCAAGTTAGTGTACTAAGAAATGTGACTTCGGGGCTCTGGCCCATCTTGGGTAGCAAAGGAAGTTCTAGGCAAGGTGGTTTGAGCATGTGGCCAAAAGCCAGGAAGTCCTGGGCCCTACCACAGACTCAACTGACTGGCCTTGGACATGTTACTTAAGCTCACTGTACCTCAGTTTCCTGCCAGATAATATAAATAAACAATTTGCTCTTTCCTAGTAGGCACTGGGCAGTGGCTAAGTAATTTACTAGACAGATAAATTCTGTCTGTCAGATCATTCTTGAACTGAGCTGATAGGACAGATCTCTGTGTCTCCAGCATTGTCGAGACCCTGGAATTTGTTCGATAGTGAAAAGGCTGAAGATGCTGTACATCAGCACTTCTTGTGGGCAGGCTACAGCAAGATGTTAGTGGGACTGAGAGACACGTATGGATGTTTGGCTGCAAAGGGGAAACTGCACATATACAGCTTTTGTTGACTGATTGCAGCAGGGGGCAGTTTGAGGGACTGAAGCTATGACCTTGTTCATACCCAGCTTTGTGGCTGGAGACACATTTGGAATTTGGGCTGGAAAGAGGAAAAACAAATTTCCACTTCTGTAGACAGGTGAAAGCAAGGCTGATGAGAGGGCCCGAGATGTGGCCAAGCTGTAGTAGCTGTCAGGAGTATGTGACAGAGAGCTGAATGCTGCAGCCCTAACACTGCCTCACTTTGCTGATGCTGCTGGCTTGCATGTCTCTGTGTGTCGCTCTGCGCTGCCTTTTTGTAGAGGTACGGCAACAGGAATCTATGCATGCTGCTCTCTGGACTAGAGGAAAATACACTGTGATAGCCTAACACTTCGCACACTCGGTGAGTGTGCTGGGGAGAATTACCTCTGTCTGGGACTCGAAAGCCCCACTGGCTGCTAGAGCAAGGCGTGGGAGAGCAGACAAAGCTTTCCTTGGTGGCCAGCGTTAAGAGTCTTGAGGCGTGGCTTTTGGCATCTGCACTGACTTGGGCTCTCCAATTCCTGCTTCTGGGTGCTGGGTTCAGCAGTGGGCAGGCTATAGCTTTGATTTGCCTGGTAGTACATTAATGACTTCAGAACTGTCTTCCTTGGAGAAATTTGGTATGTCCCGTGTTTTGTCCTGTGATGCCAGTGACACATCTTGTGTCCACACACTTTTGCTTCTGAGAGTGCCCAAATATTACTGCTGCGTTTAGATCAGACTTATATAAGGCATGCACTTACACTTTCTCCCCTGGAGTAGAGTCTTGGTCTCTCATGTGTGGAAACCAAGGGGTACAACAGCTCTAATGGCGCAGGTAGAGTTTCCATGGTGTTTAGGTGGGCTGTTTTCTACACTCCACTATCTAAGGGTTATGTTCTTCAGAAGCTTGTACTATTATATACTAAAGTATACATATTATGCAATTCAGTTGTGCGCTATTTTCACAGTGAACATTGCTTTTTTATCTGCAATACAAGTGATTGTATTTCCAGTTTTGGTCTCAGGGGAAGCTATTTGACAAACATGCTACCAGTGGGTATAAGGTTGAGGTTATGGCATCTGGTGTGCCATAGAGAGGAATTCTGGGACGTGTTCACCTCCTTTACATGCAGTACATTGCTACAGAGCAACTATTCAACAGGAGCCATCAGGAGCAGCAAGTAGGACCACAAGAAAATAAAGGGACCGAAAGATACAAGAAACATGTCCATGGTGATGTCTCCACCTTGGGATGGAAAATCTTGTCTGTCTTATGATGAACGCCACCAAATCGCTGGGACTTCTCTGTCTACCTAGCCTGCTGTGTATCTGGAGGGCCCAGAAATGCCATGCAGTGCACTGACGAGGATAATCGGAGAGAGCGTCAGCTCCAAGGACTGGGTGAGCCAGCAGAATGAGGAGTCAGGCTGAGACATAGCAGACACGTTACTGAGACTTCTTCACAGGGACTGAAGTGGTTGGGAGGAGAGGAAAAAAAGGGACAGCAGGTATGCAGCTTTTTACGCAGTTGTCTGCAGCTGGGGTCTGATTTGGCAGGCTACGGGGCTGGGGAAGTGCTTTTTGGATTTGCATAAATACCACTGTGAATATCTAACTGGATGAATTTGTGGGAGGACGGTGCCTACTTCTTCCTTGCATGGCCACTCCACGTTATCTTCTTTCTTGGATTCACAAGGGCAAGCGACAGCTGCAGATCTCCTCTCCCTGGCTTGCTTGTTGCCACCTCTTTCCAGGGTTACTTTCCAGGCTTGGCATGGCCCTCATTTAACCTTGCTCTCACAAGAACGTGGTTTGCTGTCCTCACTTAGCACAGAATCACTTTGGCATGCAGAGCGACTGGCTAGGAAGCTGCGTGGTTACAAGTCAAAACAGTTTTAAATGGAAGTTGATGTGCAAGGAAATTCAAAATGATACAGAAACAATGATAAAAATTACTATTATCACAAAAGTCCCATTGTGCATGATGGCCAGTCCTTCTACAGTTTTAATTGTAGTCATTTCTCCTTTGGCAGGATTGCAGCACATAACTGACTCTTAATAATTTAATTTTGTTTTGCTACATGGTGCATGAAAAACACACCTGACAAAGTGGTTACAAATAATACTGGAATACTGGAATATACTTACTGCATTGCCCATTCCACATTGAGTTGAAAAATGTAATGCAGTTATGCTTTTCCTTTGGAGATACCTTGATTGGTTCAATTTGGTCTTTATTTTCTCCCGGAGTCTAAAGTATAAAACCTCTCTAAGGAATTCATCTGACTTGCAGAAAAGGAGGATTCAAGCCCATCCATTGCTGACACTGTCACTCCATCAATTATGGGCTACTCACTGTTCTTGTGCTTGCCAAAAATTTGCTGCAGGTGTGCTTTTATTTTCTCTCCCTGCTGTCCCATGAGCTGCTTTTCTTTCTATTGCTTGTACCCTTTGCAAATGATGCTTATTTTAGAACTCTTGAGAACAGCTTCTGTTAGTCAAATTAATTCCCATTTCTTGGCTCTATTTATCATGGTCCCAATATCCCATTAATCCCCTATTTCCTTCCCTCTCCCTCTGACACACACATTCTCTGCTCTTCAACATTCCTTACGTTCTTCTATCTATAATATTCCCAGTTTGAAGGGAGAGTATCCTGCAAGAAATAGCACCCAGCATTCAAAATTGAACAGAAATGTTACTTGCATCAAAATCCTTGGTTCTTAAAGGGCTCTGTGGGCTGCCGTTGTTAACTCTTTCAATTGTGTTGTTTTTCATTTCAGTAACCACTACAGCAGTGTGGACAACCCAGAATAGCGATGGGGCAGGTGGAGTAGATCCACAGTGGTGGAAAGACTTGCAAATTTCAGGTCCAGGAAAGGAACACAGAGAAGACCTACATGAACAGGGACTTTAAATTGATGTACAAGGAGGGAATAAAGTGGCTTATCTCTGAGAGACCTTGCTGTTTAGGAAGGAAGACAGGGGAATGATACAGTTCCTTTTAATTTTGTTTTGTGGATTTTGGGGTGGGGGTTGTTTGTTTGTGTGTTTATTTTCCAGAACACCTGAGAGTTGTCCTGCATTCATACAGTTCAAGAAGGGAAGGGCTCAGTAAAAAAAATCATTTCTGTCTACAAGTTGATCCACCAGCAGATCCTAGTAGTCATAACTGCCCCTCTGGCACAGCACCACAGGGCTGCCCCCTACCTCCACAGCTGCTCACCTGGCGTCCCACTCATTTACAACATTATGGAGAGGAGAACTGGAATGCAAAGCAGAGGCATTTGTATGATCTTTCATTGTCCTACATCTCTAGCTGTCTGTAAAACAAATACAGTGACTTGTTTTGGTGTTGTGGTCAGCCTGCAGCCCTTTTTGTATTTAATAAAGAAACTTCTGGAGAAGAGTCTGTGAATTCACTACTGAGCATAACATCTTTTACTGATGGCAGTGATCCTGAAGCTGTTGCCTGTCTTACTCCCATTCCCGATGAATGGAAGTGTATTCCAAGCGGGGTGGAGGTGTGTCTGTATATGAGCATGTGTGTGCAGAAACAATAAAAGTATAACCCTGTACCTATCAAACATTAAAGATCTAAAGCTTCAAAGTAGGACTTAGTCATCAGTAGATGAACAGGACACTCTTCCCTAAATTCTTTTGGAGACAGTGTTGTTTAATACATAAGAAATTCTGTATAAATTGAAGATAGCATTTTTAAGTTTGTCTTTCCCAATCCCACGATGCCTTTTTAGCTACAGGCTAGTTGAGAGTGCACAAGATGTCATCTGCTAACAGCACCGGTTTGGTTAACAGTTTGTGTTTCTGGCTGTAAGCTGATAGTTCTCTGCACTGCGCTGAATCGATGCTAACTTGGTTCAGGGTATGTCGTACAGAAAGGCCACTGGCAGACACGATCGCTTTCTTAGTAGTTGTGATTGATGCTAGTGTTACTGATAGGAGGAGTTCCTGCCTCAGTCACCTCATATAAAGATCACAGCTTTTAAAATCCTGCAGACTGTCTGCATGGCCGGTCTGTCTGAGCAGGAACCTGCCTGCCATTAGACTCCAGGCTACTGCTCAGTAGAAATGTAAGCCATCTGGAAGGGGAAAGGAAGAAGAAAACAAACGTGTAGCTGCTTCCACTAACAGTCGCAGTGGCGTTTGGGAATCCTGTTTTGTAACTCTGTCACAGGTAGCACATCTCCCACCATAGCTTTACATCTGTCCCGTGTTCTGCAGGTTTCCTCATTTCACCATACTTTGTCTTGCAATGCTTTTTTGGTCTCTGGGCTTTTATCCTGGTGGTTTGTGGATATCTGCTTCTTGGAGAGGCACTGTAATCCTGTCATGTCTGCTGCTCCATGCTGCTCAGTCCCACCAGTGTGAGGCTGTGGTCCAGACATGAAAGCAGCTCTCCAGGTTATGAAAACAATTCACTGCTGAAATGACTTCTGATGGGGGTACATGTGTCACAGGAATCATGATGGTACCTGCTGCTTTCAGTGACAAATAGACTTAGGGTGCCCCTCAGCACCTCTCTTCAGCCCACAGCGATTGTATTCTCAAGTCTTCTCCACAGAAGCCTTTCTCACATTTCTGAAAACAAATGGTAAATACCTTCAAATGCTTTTGGAAACCTCCATGGGGACGTTGGGAACTAAAACTCTTCTCCCACAGTCTCCGTGAAACTTCTGAAGGTCTTTGAAATCTTCCATAAATTACTGCTTTTTAAAGCACTGATGGAAATTGCGAGGTAAGCACCAGAAAGGCAGTGGGAGTATGAATATGGGGCAAAGCTGGCTGAAACAGTTTAGCACATGGGAAAGTACCTGTCCTTCTAACAGGACTGGTGCTCTCTCAGTGGGATTAAGAATTCAATTCCCTGGTTATACTGATGCCAGTTGTGGACCTATACTAAAAGGTACAATTTGCTTCTGAAAGCTATATTTTGACTTTTGTTTTATGTGAAAAATGCACTGCATCTTCCTTAGCATTTTCACATTTATGGTTTGAGTGGTTCTTGAGAACATACACATCAGTTGATAAATTTAATCCAAAAGCTACCCCACTGGGAACTTTAGCACCTTGTCCCAAGCTCATCCACTGAGAGGGGTAAATCATGACTACCCCCAGAACAAAGTCATTTGTTTGATTTAATATGGAAATGAATGGTTGCCTTTTATTGTTATTCTTGAGAATCAAGAGTTCTTCTTAGCAGGGGTTGCTGTAAGAAGTTTTCTTTCAGAGAACCACAAATAATTGCCTTCTTTCAATGTATTTGCCATCACCTATTGAATTGAGGTACCAGTGATCAGTGTCTTTCAACAGAACAGATTTTAAGCTATTCTAAACAAGCAACTCCGCTTTCTGGGTTCATTCCTTTAGTTTTCTGTTTTAAGCATATGAAGTGTCACAGATTTACTTTAGCCAGAGCCACTCCTGGACAAGGCAAGGCAAGGTAGTGAAGCATCATGGAAGCAGGAGAACACCAGCTCCAAACACCAACACCTTCTTGAAGGGCAGCTTGTCCTCAGTCCTCCTGGGACAGAAGGTGGTGACAGAGCATGTCAAGGACAACCCCTGGTTTTAGTATCACTGTGGAGAGCAGGTGAGGTGCCAGGCACTCGGGGGTACCATTTTTATGCAAGTTGCCTGTTACAGCAGAGGACAGGACTTAATGATTTAGAAGAGCCACATAGCACCATTCCTGATCTGGGATAGCATCGTAATCCCCGAGTGGCTTCTTCCCAGCCTAGAGCTGTGCTGTAGTTCCATTGGCAGATAGCTTGAGAGCAGAGAAAGCCACCTGGCTACATACGGCAGATATATAGGACCTCACAGGGGTTTTTTGGGGAGGGGCTGGAGTGGCATATAAAGAGTATGCAGACAGCAGCCTGATGCTGAACATTTCCACTAGCGAGACTGTTCTAGACACAGGAACTGGAGTCACATCAGCAGGTACAAGAGGCTGGTGTTGCAGGGTAGGCAAGCAGAGAGATTACTTAAGTGCTTTCTGAGAGGTGACTTCAGAGGTTCTGCACAGTGCAGGTGAGCAGCCCCACACCCGTTGTGTTTTTTGGCAAGCCTTGGTGGTGAAAGCAATGGAACGGCACCAGTCTGACTCTTTGTCCTTGTGGCTGCCAGGGGAGCAAGTCTTTGCAGGGCTGGAGGAGCAAGCCCGCCAAGCCATGATGAAAAACAACTTTCCTGGAGCTCTTGGGGACCAAAGGCCAGCCATTCATCCGCTGCAAGACCCCGACTCCAGCAGCAGTGAGTTCTGCCCCTACCAATAATGGCAAAGTGGTGAACTGGGGAGACTCTGACAAAGGGCAAGGCTAGGTGCTGCACAGCTTATGGGGGGCCTCTGAGGACCACCTTACCCATCTCCTCCTCTGGGTTAGCCCTTGGCTCCTGGGCAGGATTTAGCATCAGCAAACACCAAGAGCAGGGCTGCTCCCTAAGGGAAGGCAGTCCCAGAGCTGAGGACCACCACAATGCAGATTGGGCAATGGTACTGGGATGCAGTCCCAACTTACCAGAGCAGGGTGGTAACAGGAGCAGGTCCAGCTGACAGTCCAGTAATTGTCAAGCAAAGCAGGGTAACAAGCCAGGTCCAGGGACTCTACAGAGCACTTCAGGGACTGAAGTACCCTGGCCTGAGTTTAAATGGAGCCCCTGGTCAGAGGGGGTGGGTAGAGGTCCCAGGTGATGCTGGTCAGGACAATTAAGGCCTCTGAGTGCCCTCAAGGGTCCTGACACTTGGAATAACTGTTCTGCATGTTCTAGGTGGCAGTGATGATGAGGAAACCACCCAGGATGAAGCTTCTTCCCATACATCTGAGGAGGATGGCTCAACGGTGAAAGTGAAGAAAGAATTAGAGAATGCAGAACAACCCGTGGCTGGAACCCCACCAATGAGAGAAAATGAGGCAAGTGTGTACTGGCTCTGCACCCTCCTTGGCCTCCCAGGGAGAGAGAAGGGTATTGTCTAAACACCTCCTCTCCCCATCTCTTATCTTTTTCTCCCTCCTGCCTCCTCCAAACAGTGTCTCCTGGCAGGAGGAAAGGGTATGAAGAGCTCTTGGGCTCACAGGAACAGGAGACAGGAGGCACAAACTGCCACGATGATTGTGCAGAGCATGCCCCTTTCCTTTGGTTCTGGTGCCTTTCTCTGGCTGACTTCCCCTTCCCTCCTGCCGCAGAGCAGGCCTTGCCTACCAGAGCCACCGCGCCGGCAAGAGCCAGGGGGCAAGTGGAGACCACAAGGTTTCTGCCTGTCCTCCCCCAGACAGCAGGAGTTTTGCTCAGAGGCTGCATTAAGGGAGTTTCAGATGGCAAGAACGCAAACCAGCCCCAGTGGGACTGGGCATGTGGCACTTGACCTGGTCGAGGTGTGCCTGCAGTGTTGACTAGATGCTAACGGAGGGTGGGGTGGCGTGTCGGGGGGGACCTGTGTGCCTTACACAAAGTGGCTTTTCCTCCCTGTAGGTGCCTGAGAGTTTGAATGCTGACCCTTTGCTGGGACTGTCACAGTGCCCCCTCTGCCAGCTGGAGTGTGGAAGCAGAGAGCAGCTCATTGCTCACGTATACCAGGTACGGGATGATTCCAAACGGTGGGATATTGCTGACCTTAAGCTCCAAATCCAGAAACAACCCAAAGCACAGGGTGGCTTTGTTCTGGTCTTTGCAGTCACAGACTAAGTCTTCTCGCTAGAATGTGATTGAAGTTTACAGTAGTAAACTGTATCCAGAGGGTGTCCTAGGGAAAGAATCGACAAGGCACTGATCTGCAGATCAGGAAAACACAACTCTATCCCAAGGCAGTCTCTGCAAGCAGTTGCACGCTAAGACCAGGCAGTTCCTTCACATTAAACACGGAAGCAATTCTTACATCATTCAATGAGATAAGAAACCTTCCTCCTAACCACTCAGTTCTTTATTTTATACCTTTATTACAGTTCCTACCCATGAAAACAGCTGTTTTTCCTCTGAAGTGATTCCAGTATTGCAGAAAATCTTGCTGGAATCTCACAGGTTTTGTTGTCAGAACTCTTTTCACAGCACATCAAAGTCTGTAAAAGAAGGAATAAAGCAGAACTGAATTGGCCACTTACCTGCACCAGCTGTGTCCATCTAAGAGCTTCCTCACCAGCATCCTGCCTACTGTTAGTCCAGTCACGCTTTGTCCAGCAACAGCAGCTCCTCAGATGCATTTCTGAAAACAAGGGTCAGGTTTTACGATCCAAGTGTTTTGGCCTTAATTGTTTCTCTTGCACTGGAGTGGAGCTGTAGAAAGGTTTACTCCCTGATGCTTGACCTGTGACACCCCAAATGCCTTGAGCTCGGTCTAGGAGCTGTCAGACAGAGGTTCAGGGGTAAAGTGTTCCCATTGCACGAGGCTGAACTGAATGGTTTGCTGTACCTGTTGAGCATGCCTCAGACTGGGCAGGGAGCTGGGCAATTTGTAACTAACAGCCTTGTGGGTTTTTTTGCAGCACACAGCAGCTGTGGTGAGCGCCAAGAGCTACATGTGTCCCGTGTGTGGCAGAGCCCTCAGCTCACCAGGATCCCTTGGGCGACATCTCCTGATCCACTCAGAGGACCAGCTGTCAAACTGTGCCGTGTGTGGAGCACGCTTCACCAGCCACGTCACATTCAACAGGTCAGGGTCACCCTGGCTGGTGAGTGGGCTAGGGCACCCACATTAAAGATTAGGTGGGTTGACACAGGAGTCACAGCTCTGGACACGCTAAGGCCTGTAGGAGAGCTGTGCACACACCTAGTGAGTGAGATTCCCTCAATCCCTTCCTGCCTGTGGCTCTGCATCACCTGCTAGGACGTCCATGGGCTGTGCTGCTAAAAGAATAACTCTGTGAAGAACTAGAGCTGCACAGAAAGCACTGGGGTCTCCAGTCACTGGAGAAATGATCAATTGTTGCTCTTGCCCAGCAATCCACTGGAGTAGGTCTGTACTGCCCATCATTTCCAGAGCAGGACTACAGGCAGAAAACAAAATGTTCCCTGCTTGTATCCTGCCTGGTGGAACACTATCCGCTAACCAGAGGAGTAGGGCTGAAAGGAGAAATCCAGAGATGATGGGGAAGAGCAGCTTGCTGGCTAATTCCTGCTCTTGTGCTCTTCCAATCCAGATAGTGCTCTGGACTAACCCACTTCCTACCCCCAGATACGATGTTGCTTCATTTTAGCTATTCAGATGTGCCTGCAGGCAGGAACTGTCTGGCAGAGGCCACTGTGGAGGGCTGTAGAAGGGGCACTGTTCACTGCAGCCCCCTGGGCGGTCTGAGATGGGGATTTTTCCATCAGCACCAAGTCTCTGACTCTCTGCTCTTTCTGCTTTCCAGTGAGAAGCTGCCAGAGGTGCTCAGTGCAGATCGGCTGCCGGCACCGCAGAGCGGGGGCCCCTCCAGTGGTGAGGGGAAAGACATTGCCTTTCACACCCCTGTGTATCCCGCAGGCATCCTCCTAGTGTGCAACAACTGCGCTGCTTATCGTAAGCTGCTGGAGGCACAGACACCCGGCATGCGAAAGTGGGCGCTCCGTCGGCAGAACGAGCCCTTGGAAGTGCGGCTGCAGCGCCTGGAGCGGGAGCGCACGGCCAAGAAGAGCCGTCGGGACAACGAGACGCCCGAGGAACGGGAGGTGAGGCGCATGCGGGATCGAGAAGCCAAGCGGCTGCAGCGCATGCAAGAGACTGACGAGCAGCGGGCGCGGCGGCTGCAGAGAGACCGGGAAGCCATGCGTCTGAAACGGGCAAACGAGACCCCGGAGAAACGACAGGCCCGGCTCATCCGGGAGCGCGAGGCCAAGAGGCTGAAGCGGCGCCTGGAGAAAATGGACATGATGCTCCGGGCACAGTTCGGCCAGGACCCCTCTGCCATGGCCGCTTTGGCAGCTGAAATGAACTTCTTCCAGCTGCCGGTGAGCAACGTGGAGCTGGAGAGCCAGCTGCTGGGCAAAATGACCTTTGAGGAGCAGAGCAACAGCGCGCTGCATTAAGCTACAGCCGAGGACTGTGCCGCCTCTGCTGCGCCTGCCACCGGTGCGCTAGCAGGATTCTACACTCAGGAGGCTGCTGTGGGTCCCTGGCTGACTCTCCCTGTGACAGAGGGTTCTGGTTTTCTTCTGAACATAGGAGGAGAACAGAGCTGAGAGATGTCTGCCAAAGTAACCCTGGTGGGAGCAGATTCTGAGGATACAGTCTGCTCTGGGGGCCAAGTCACAGCCTGGGAACAGAGGGAAAATAAATTAATGTTCATGTTTATTTAGTCTTCTTTACTTTTTGTGCTTCATCCTGTTCTTGAGCCCTTGCCCCATAGATGGGTTTGGGTTGCTGCAGTTCTGCTGTAGGTGAAAGCCTCCCTCACTAAACAGGGATTTTGTTTTACTGCAGCATGGAGCTAAGGGCTTTGATAGTCCACAGCTCCTCCAGGAGTAAATCCCTCACAGTTTGTGCCCATAAAAAGGAAGTGAAGGAGGACACCATCTCCCTGGAAATGGCTGTGCACGCCCTTTCTCTTAACACTATCATTAGGTGGTTATTTGCAAAAGCATCCATAGAAAAAAGTAAGAGGAAACTGAGTTCCTGTTCTAAGGTACCCCACATAAACACTGACAGAAAGGTTGACTGAGGTGAGCAAACAGCAGACAGGTTTGCTGGTTTACTCACAGGTTAATTTTCACTTAAACAGCATTTCAGGTTTGCAAGTGAAAAAGTTGATTGGATGGTAAACTATAAGGGTAGGTCAGTTCTCTAGGACTGTATGGATTTGCTTTCCCCTTTACTCAGCACTGGTGAGGCCACACCTGGAGGACTGTGTCCAGTTCTGGGCTCCCCAGTGCAAGAGAGGCACAGACACACTGGAGAGTGTCTGGCACAGGGCCACTAAGATAGGGAAGGGACTGGAGCATCTCTCCTGTGAGGAAAGGCTGAGAGAGCTGGGACTGTTCAGCCTGGAGAAGAGAAAACTTGCGGGAAAGGGGAGGTGGATCTTACCAATGTTTATAAATACCTGAGGGGAGAGTGTGAAGAAGTCAGGGCCAGGCTGTTTTCAGTGATGCCCAGTGACAGAACAAGAGATGATGGGCACAAAGACAGGGGGTTCCCTCTGAACATCAGGAAACACAATGGGCACAAATGGAAAGACAAGGCGTTCCCTCTGAACATCAGGAAACATTTTTTCACGGTGAAAGTGACTAAGCACTGGCAGAGTGCTTACTTACGGAGTGCAACTTCCCAGGGAAGTTGAGTCTTTCATCTTGGAGATACTCAAAAGACATGGTCCTGGGCAGCTGGCTGTAGGTGGCCCTCTAGAGCAGGGGGGGTCTGGACCAGATGGCCTCTGGAGGTCCCTTCCCTCCTCAATGTTCTATGTGACTTCATGGTAAGCTGAGCTTTTCAACCCTTTAATACAGCCAAATGCAACACTGCTCATCTAGGACCACAGACCACTCTCAAGTTACTCATTCTCATAGTAAATTCCTCTGTGACCAGCAGTGACTTTCAGTAGTCACTGCAGATAACACTGTGGGGGTGAGGGGGGGACCATTAGTAAACAAAACCACACAGGTAGAAAATAAAGTTGCTTTTGCTTCCACATTCAGCAGCAAAACCAATGAGAGGAATATGGAAAAGGGGTGAACTGGGGAGGAGCCATGGAAACCTACAATAACTGAGTCCAGAAAAACCTGCCAGAAGGTAGGGAATTGAACCTTCTTCAGTTTATTCAAGAGGTAGCCAAGGCAAAAATGTGAGCATAGTCTGTACCTATATGAAAAGGTTCCCAACGCTAATAGAAATCATGATGAAACCATGCAACTATGGAAATTAAATCTAAGCGTGTTCAAACTGGAAAAGGCAGAATGTTAGCACAGAAGGTCTCATGGGGGGTACAGTCTCCAATATTTGGTTTCTTTAAGAATGAGCATCTAAAAACACATGCTGTAGCCTTGTGGTTTCCAAACATTAGCCCACCAAACACCGGCGTGCCACACATCTATTTTTTGTAGCCTGAAGACCCCTACTGCTTTCATAGTTTTTCCTGTTCAGTTCCATAGTACAGTTTTACGCGGTGGTCTAAATACACTGGGACCTACCAGTTTCTCTCTGAAGGCTGTTTCTCTGCAGCAAGTCAGAAATGGTGACTACAAGACCCCTCTTGAGATCAGAACAATAAAATTAAAGCAAGAAGCAAAACCTTTTAGCCACACTACTCAAAAACCTGATTTTTCACTCTTTTTTCAGTTTGAGAAACTTTTGATTGAAGTGCCTTAAAGCCCTAGTTAATGCTTGCAATACTTGCCTTCAAAGTGCACAATGTTGCATTATTTTCATGATTTTCATGATAATGAACTAACCAGGGACGCAGTCTTGTGGATGCTTATTATAAAAAGCATTTAGTCTTTTCACCGCTACAATTTCCTCCACGTTCTGCTGTAACATCCTGTTTCCTCACCTTACAGAAGCTGTTTTAACAGTCATCCAAGAGCCATCCCTGCCTCTCACTTTGGGAAAAGGCACCAGATCTGGAAAGGATCTATTCAGTTCTATGTTCCCTTGTTTGTATCCTCTGTTCTCTGAACCGATGCCTTACTTTTATTCTTCCCTCTGTCCATTTTCATACTCAAACCAGTATCGCGTCTCGCAATATTTCCTATCGCTCTACTTTGTGTGTTTTCCTTGGCCAGCAGAGATGCAGCTTCACTCTGCAAAGCGTAGCTGAAACTTTCCCTGCAGCATCACTGGCGCCTGATCATTATACCAAGGGATTTAAGAAAGAGGCCATGTAAGAGCAAAAGTATTTGAACACAGAATTATGTCTTATAATCCATCTGTCAGACAGCCCTTGCCCTTGTCACAAGTCTGCAGATCACTCCATGTAAGACCAGAGAAGCCACATCCTAATGATCACTGATGCTACAGACGAGCAAAAAGTCTCAAACACCAAAGGAAAAGCTATTGGTTTATATATATATATATATATAGATATATAGATATATACTGTGTTTACAGAGTCAACAAGTTAAATGCAATATTCATAAGAGCATTAACAATAAAAATACAATCTGTGTGTAGCCAAGTACAGACTTAAAATGGTAAAACAGGAAAAAGGATCTCACCAAAAGTACAAATATACAGTACAAATTGATTTATTTAAAACAGTTACAAAAAAAGCACAACAAAATAGAGATTATCCTTAGAATTATTAATGCTTTGTTAAAGATCAGGTAGGAGGAAAGGGGCAGGAACAAGGTCGGAGGGGAGCACCTGACTAGTTCTAAGGCTTTAGATACAATGCGGTCGGTTACATGTTAATACAGCCATTACATAACTGGGATTATAGTTGAGGGATCAGCACTTATCTACAAAGACCTCCTTGCCTCAGCGCAGCCCAGCCGGTTCCCCCAGTGCCACACGCCCGCTCCTCTGCTTCGCACGCACGGGCAGACCCTCCCCTGGCGCTAAGGTGCCATGAAAAGCGGGAAACAACTAGGATGTGCACGGGTGGGTTTGCAGGGTGGGGTGGCAGCAGCCTAGAAGGACATTAAGGGGCAAGTCCTGTCCTCCATGGACAGATGTGAAGACCACGGGAAGGGCCTTTGACCATCAGCATTTTAAGCCATACATGGAACACACCCTGGGCCAAACTCTCTGTACAGAATGTGCATTCGTAGCCATCTTAGCAGCTTCTGCAAAGTTTCAGGCCCTAGGACAGCCTGAAAGACAAAGAGCAGTTGTGAGCGACGCTGGGGAAAGGCACATGTACTGCTGCGGGCAGGAACTAGCATTTGGGCTACTCAAGCTGCTGTAGTTTCTTTTACAATATTTTCTGAGTAACAAGGATTGTTAGTTCTCTACGGGGGAAAGTGACTTCAAGTGTGGGGTGGGGACAGGGGGAGAGGGGACACTTAATGTGAAAAGTGCATTATACTTGTGCACCTGCTGGAAAGGGGAGGCAGAGGGGCCTCTGCAGCTTTCCTTCTTTCCAGACAGAGCTTCCTCTGCATAGTCTGGTAGTGATGAGCGCTCGTCGCTCGGAGCAAGTCTCACGTGCCTGGAACAACAGTGTACGCACAGCCTAGAAACAGGCCCGGCCTCTGCTGGGCAGCTGACCCAAGGAATGTTTCATGAGATGGAACAGATGGCTACAGACACCCATTATTGCATCCTACAGACTCTTGCCACAGAGTGTGAGCTGGGTAAGACCAAGGCCAGGAGGCCTCTTCCTCCTCTTACGGGTAGGACAGACCACAGCTCTCTTCCCCTTCACAATAGCAGCAGGAAAACAGTATATTTCTCTGAGAAGCCTGTCACATCTCTGCCAGCAGAAAAGCCCGGATAACCATCTCATTCCACAATGTCTTCCTGGCTTTATCTCCTCCTTTCCCTGTAAACCTAAGAAATAAAAGCCTCCTCCGTGGGCTCATTCTTAGCCTTTCTGTCGACAGCAGAGCTTGTCTCACACATTCCCTGTCTCAGGAGAGGCTCAAAGCTCAACACAACAACCACCACAGGTGCTGAGCAACACAGCCCAACCCAGTAGGGACAGATTCCAGTGATTACGAGTACTGCTAAGCTGGGCTGGAGGGCTGCCAGCGGCCCCCTCCCACCCCACCGCCTTTGGGGCAAGCAGCCAGATGCCCAGATTCTTCATCTCAATGCCCTGCCATGAGATGTGCCCCAAATTGTTGCTTCCATGGAAGAGCTGGCAGCCGAAACATCCACAACAGCAGGACTGACAGGGAGTCTGGACAGAAGCACCGAGGTCAAATTCACCCTGGCCCGTTCCACAGAGCTCAGCACCGCACTCAAGAGATGCGTGGCCAGCTAAAGTCCAGGGTGAGCACCTTCACAGCCCTTCAGCTGCCTACAGTACAAAGCTATTTTAAGCCACACAGCATCTTGCCTCATACATCAGCGTCCGCCCTTTCAGACCACTGTTCAGTGTGGCTGAGATCTAGGAGTAGTAGTTACAGTAACGCACATGAGATAAGGCAGGCCCTCCAAACCCTCTCTCTAGGAGACAGATTCCTGGCTCCAACGATGCACACGAGGGGCTCTGCACCCTTCAGCTGCTCAGACATTCCCTCTGTGCATGCAGCCAGCCCACCTACATTCACACGCCACACGTATGCAAGATCCCTTTCTTAGCTGCCTGCCACAGCTCTGAATTCCTCTGCAAGCTCCAGAGGAGGCAAGAGAACCTGGGCTCCTCCGCCTTCTGCCTTTGGCCACAGACACCCTGGATATCCTGAGCATTTAAGTACT